GGCTACTGGGGTGGATGCAGTGGGGCTACTGGGGTGGATGCAGTGAGGCCTACTGGGGTGTATGCTGTGGGGCCTACTGGGGTGGATGCAGTGAGGCCTACTGGGGTGGATGCAGTGAGGCCTACTGTGGTGGATGCAGTGGGGCCTACTGGGGTGGATGCAGTGAGGCCCCACTGTCAGGCCGCTGTCAGGCCCCTCCCCGTTCCTGTGGCCTGTTTTGAAGCTTCCTTCTCTCATCTTTGGGTCTTGAGTGTTTGTGGGACGAGGCTCGAATGGGAAGGCAACTCACTAGGAGTTCAGGTCCTGTCCTGAGCCCCAGCCCTGCAGTTCATGGCCCAGGAGTGTCCCTGATGACAAGAGCATGGAGAGGCTGTGCCCAGCCTGCAGACACAGATGACGGGTGTTCTGAGGTGGGGGTGTGCCCATACAGTAGGAGCAAATTCAGCCAAGGGTTCCCCGGGTCCCAGAGGCACACCCATGCATTTGAGATGAGGAGCAGCAAAGCCATCCCAAGTGCTTCCACTCAGACACAGTCCCAGAGCAACATGGCAGATGGTGGGCAGCTGGCCACAGGCACCGGGCGTGGGCCCTTTGTACTTTCTTGCAACTTTTCTGCAAGTTGGAAATTATTTCAATAAAGTCAGCAACGCTCTAGTGTCGTGGAGCTGAAAGACTCCAGGTGCCCCGACCCGCGCGGGCCTCCCAGCCCCCCTCTGACATCTTACTCCCTGGGCTTCAGCAAGCAGGAGGACGGGCGGTGGACCTGCACAGCCGGGATCTCAGACCACCTCTGGGGTGGGGATGTGCAGGCTTCAGCTCCCAGCCTGGGTCTGGTGCAGGTGGCTTAAGGGTCCCCCTGAGCTGAGCTCAAAGTCTGAAGCCCCTTGCTGGGTGTGCTTATCTCCATGCAAGAAAAACAAAGCAAACAGAAACCCGGCTGAACCACCACCAAACCCCACCCAGGGAAGACGCACCCACAGTCAGACCAAAACCACAAGCCAAAAAATCACTTGAACAAGTTAAAAATAAGCAAAAGCCACAAAACTGAAGTCTCAACAAAGTAAAAAACAAAAAGACAAATGAAATGAGAAATCAAAAACTTGCCAATAAGTGCTGCAAATACAAGTGAAAATGGAAACAGAGACTTCATTCAACTTGTGTAATTAAAGGTCACAACGCAAACTCTCAACTATGGTCGGGTCGGGTGTTCCGGCCCTGCGGGGACGCTGCGGAAGGACAGGAGACCTCTGCCCTGGGAATCCCCGGTGCTCCCTCCGAGCCTGTCTCATCTGCAGCCGGGAGGCCTAACTAGGAGGCTGGCTGGTTACCAGAGGGCACCTGCCGGCGGGAGCCTCCACTTCTGGGTCCCAGGCGGCAGGCCAGGGTTGACTTGCCAGGAATTGGGGGCGGGGGCAGTTCCATACACCTGGTGACCTGAGCTAGTGCTACCCCCTCATTTGTGCAGCGGGATCTTAGGGTCTCCACATGTTGGGGCCTTGGAGAGGATTCGATGCCAGGCAGGACGCACGACGGACCCTCAGTTTTACAGCACTTGTGTTCCCAGTGAGGCCCCAGGAAGCCACCTGGGCCCCGCATGGGAGGCTCTCACTGATTCAGAATCTGTGGGGCCCCTCCTGTGTGATGGGATGGGCCCTAAATGTTGGGAGATGTCCTTCCTACCCAGGAAGGAAGAGGGCTCTGCGCTGCAGATGCCATGCGGTGGAGCTCCCTGGGAGCCCCTGAGAAGCTAGGAAAGGGACCTGGGAAGGGCAGGCTGCACCAAGGCCCGTTCTGACCACCCAACAGGGCCCCTGAGGACCAAGGAGGACGAAGGTGTCCATGTACCCTTCCAGGCAGGCTCTGCCATCTGCTCCGGGACCTCAAGCCACTTGCCCAATTGCAGCCAGTGGATGGTTGGTGGAAGCTGAATTGGGACCCACAGCCTGAAGGCCTCACCACTGTAGGGTGCCACATGGGCAGGGCCTCAGAAACTTCTGATTAATGTGTGCTGGTGTGAAATGACCCTGGAGCCCGGCATGCCAGGCCTGGTTTGGAGCTTAAGACCTCCCAGCCTTGGTCCTGGAGAGGTAGCTGGAGTCCCGGGAACGGTGCGCCCTCTGGTGGTCAGCGCAGGAATAGCTTGTAATTGCCTTTATAGGCGTGGTTAAGACGGTTACCAGGAAATCCAATGCCCTCTTCAACCAACTCCTGTTCATTCCTCAAACCTGAGAAAAGGAGTGCTTCCTGGGGGACAGTGCATTGGTTCCAGACAACTACCCAGTTTCTCTGTCCCCCAGGAAGCACTCCTTTTCTCCCCATGCAGAGGAAGGGTCACCCTAGGGTTCCAGCCTTATGGGGCTGGGAATGTTTGCATGCATCCAGCACACATAAGGTCTGGTATGCAGTAGGTGCTCAATGATTGTTTTGGTGCATGAATAGAAAAATAAACCTACCATTAGGCTGGCCTGCAGTGGATGATGGCAGAGCTCTGCTGATTAATTTGAGACCCCTCCCAAATTAAGTTTCCTGCTCCTCTGTACCCAGAGGCACTGAGGCCTGGGCCCCAAGAGCATCGTGGGAACAGGACCTCAGCGTCTCCTGTCCCAGGGGTCACACTGAGGGATGGGCAATGGGTAGGCTTGGAAGGGTCCTCCTTCCACCCAGGAGTGTCCCTGGCTGTATTCATTCCACCAGTGTCAATGGATTCACAACTGGGTGCCAAGCACAGCCTGGGTGCAGCTGGGAAGGAGACACAGAGGTCCTTCTGCTGGAGCAGGACCTCGCAGTTCTCAGGTGGGAACAAGAGAGACTCTTGTTCTGAGCATCAGAAAACTCTGTGACATTTAGCAGAAAACTGGAGAGAGAAGAGGCAGAAGTCCGGCCATAGCCTGAGGAATGGTGCACCTGGAGGAGAAGGGCAAATGGGAGAGAAGAACAGAGGGAGTCCAGTGCCTTCCCAGGTTAGGAGGAGGGATAGCAAGCGCGGAGGAGGGAGAGAGCGGAGGAGGCGGCTGGGGGGAGAAAGGGGAGGGGCAGGCGGAGGAAGAGGGAGGAGGAAGAGGAAAAACAGGGGGAAGAGTTAGAGGGGAGGAAGAGTAAGAACAGGGGGGAGGGGAGAATAGGGGAGGATCAGGAGGAAGGAGAAGAGCAGGAGGATCAGGAGGAAGAAGGAAGAGCAGGAGGAAAGGGAGAAAAAGAGCAAGAGGAGGAGGAGGAAAAGGAGCGAGTGGAGAAGAAAAGGCAGGAGGAGGGGGAAAAGGAGGAAGAGGGGTACCGCAGTGACCTGCCCCAGGGGAGACCCAGGTTGCCAAGGTGACTCGGCCCCACCCCACTCAGTCCCCGCCCCCTGACCGCCTCTGCACTCCAGTCTGGCTCCTCCCCGCCGTCCGGAGTCAAATTTGACAGCCGTTCCTAGTTTGCCCCTCAGCGGCCACCGTCGCGCGCGCCTCCACCCGCCGCGCGCGCTTCCCGCGCCGCTGGTCCGCTCCACGCCGTGCGTGAGTGTGCGTGCCGTGCGTGAGCGTGCGCGGGCGCGTTGGCCGGCGAGGGAGCAGCAAACGGCCGGCGGCGGGCGCCGCGCGGGGGGCGGGCGGCGCGGAGGCGGCGGCGGCCATGGCCGAGGCGTCGCCGCAGCCCGGACGGTACTTCTGCCACTGCTGCTCGGTCGAGATCGTGCCGCGCCTGCCGGTGAGGCCCGGGCGGGCGGGCCTGTCCGCGCGGGCCTGGGCAGGCCGCGGCGGGCGGGGGCCGGGCCCGGCGGCGCCGGCGCGGGTCCTCTCC